AACCAAAACCGGCGCACGAAAGTGCATGGTTAATGGTTGTAAAAACTGAAACTGAACTGATTGTATATTTCGATAACAAAGAAGCAAACAAAAAGGAAGCTCAAAACAACTATCCGCTCAGTGAGCATCTTGGTTGCCCCCAGAGACGTCAACGCTGAATTGGGATCCATTAGACGAATCAGAAACCTGGGTGGAGCAGATGCAAGGCGGTTTAAGAAAAAGAGCTACAGAGAACACTTAATTAAACTCTGCACAGATCACAGATTGATCATGTCTGGTACCAATTTGGCATACTAAAAGTGACATCATCATGGAATAGTCTCCATTTTCATCGGCGATAAACTAAAATCGACCATATTGCTTTGGACCGCCGCTTGCGAAGATTTATCGAAACTTGTCATTCCTCTTGGTGTTCGCCTGTGGATACGGACTATGCTCCAATACTAGCCGGATACGGTCTGTGCCCCCAAACTCCCTAAACAAAGATGAAGGAACTGAATATCAACAGTACACTACCTATGCCAGGTGACACATTTTCTGCCCTGGAGTTTGTAAATGAGATTTTAACTATGAGTTACATTTCAGATCAGTTGCAAACCTTACTGTATGGTTCGATTGTTAACGCAGCCATACTCTGTAATAATTCCAGAAGGCGGTGCTCGGTTGAGGGAAGTTATTTATTACGAATAGCGGTCAGGGTGTCGGTAAATTGTCATTCATAACACAAAATATCTCACTTGGAACGAGTCTGCAGAATTCCCATAGGTACCCCGGATAGATGTAACGGTCCACCATTAGATGCGCACTTGTATGCACCACACCGAACAGGTCTTATTCATTTTTGTCCGTTGAAAGAAACCGCCGATTACGTCTTTTTACAACCTATTCACAAATGAGTAGTATCTTGCAACACTCCTCTCCCCGTCGAAAAGGATCTCTGCATGCTTCAACCAATAGGCGATTGTTTCTTGGATTGCGGAAGTAGCGGAGAAAATGCACAAAATTCTCCTCCCAGGGTAGCTGCACCTCACCCAGCAGATCAATCTCGGAAGGAGTTTTGACATGCTTACAAAGGGCTAGGTTGATGTTTGAAAACTTGAGACATCTAGGGTGCCACCACGACATCTCGTTGTTCATGAACGGTCGAATGTATGCACCAGATGTACGGTCGGTTTTCTGGTTCATTGCAGTGACGGGAACAAGACTATCGGTGTTTGAACAACACGATTTACGTAGCATTACGCGAATCTGGGGGAACAGCCAGACAAGGAACTCCGAGATTAGGTGTAAGTTCCAGGTAATGGCGATCACTCACCAAAACAAGAGTTTGACCGCCGCAGGCTGCAAGGATCGGGGAATGCGTTAGACATGCCAAGCGATAGGCTACCAGAGTGCGATGTTTGCCGTGAGTGGACGAAGATCAAACGTGGTCGGAATATAACCTGGTATGGAGCATGTAAACCCTGATTAGGTGAACTTTTTATTACACATATTTCGTGTGGTGAATAGCAGACGGGGCGAACCCCATAGTCACGAAGACCTGCTGCTCAGTCGTGGAAACCGGTAACCTAAGCCCCGGGACTTGGAGTGGTGAACTAGGCTAGGTTAGGCGTGGTAGTGAACCGTTTAGGTTGCTCAAGTCTCCTGGATGGAAACTTTGTGACCAAATCGAGCGATGGCTAAGTACATTGAGTAACATGACTAACTGCCAGAAATATTGATGGTCGTGCATCTGAACACTTCCTATAAAGTTGTGGTTCGATCAGTCTGAGCATCTTTGTTTTAACAGTGCTTGTAGTCTTAAAATCTCTGATTTACTCCATCGTTTATCGACCAAACAAGCAACCAAGTGTGAAACAACCATATGAGCCCAATGGTATAGAAACCAGAAACAACCAGACCGAGTGACACTGGGGTAGTAAAGATTATCCAAATGTTCCTTGCAGCCGTAAGGAAAGATTTCAGATTGAGAAGAACAAAGTGCTGCGGATGAGCTCTCTCTTTCCCAAAAATTGCAAGCGACAACCTACTAGGAAATGAAAAAATCCACCAAATTGGTGCAGCAATATCCAACTTCGCGATTAGAGACGAGGCCTTTTTAATGAACTATGAAGATGTTCCAAGTGTACCGATGGTAGAAAACCCTTATCCTTTAAACAACTGTGAATTAGCAGGTCTTTAAAACTTGTCAGCAAGGGAAGAAATGGCGGTCTCGAAGAAAAAGTGGTGATTGTGCTGAGCTTTTGAAGGACCAAACAAAGAAAGCACATGATCAACAGACTCAAGTACAAACGTTGGCGTACGTAAACTGAATGATATAAACTGTACACATTTTTTCAAAATTTTCCCAAGAAATTTGACGAGGGTAACACTCGTGAAATTGGATCTGCTTTCGATTACGGTGTCAAAAATGAACAATATCAAAAGTATATTCATTTACGGAATGTGCATGAACAGATCACATCATATTACTCATTAGATATTAAAAAGGGATATAGAAAAAGTGGCACCTGTCCTTTGTTGTATCGCAATCGATAGCAGCGGTCAAAATATTCTTCTTCAGACCGATTGCGCATTCGACCCCAATAAATTACTGGACCAATCACCAGGCCTGGAATCATACCGTAAGCCGCATAACTTCGGCAACGAGTAGCCAAAGTTTGTAAATCTCGAGGACCTGACAAAATGCTCATGTGAAAAGACGGACAAATATTACCTTTACCCAACGTTACTATAGGCGCGACCACAACTGCTCCAAGAACCGAACTGGCTTGAACTGCTCGATGCACAACATGCAAAAGGAGCTCCGTTCGGGGATAAGGGATGTCCCGATATTCTTCTTCAGTCAGTTGAAAGCCTGCCAAATTTCGGAGCCACGACGAACCCATCAGGCTGAAAAGAATGCACATGGTCGAAACGGATTTGATCTTCGACTGAAATTCACGCGAAATACGGGGCTCCCTAAAGCATTGCACGAGATTGGTTGGAAAACCAGAAAAACAACGGTGATCAGGCGCAGAGCTTTAGACAATCGCGGTCGACCACTGGAGCAAGGGCTCGACCTTCGTGGATTTCTTTGTCTGAGTCACATATTACCCATTTCACCTGATAGAATTCCACGACCTGTGAACCTATCCAAAGCAGGTGAAGGGCAGAGAAAAAAGCACGAGTAAGCTAACACGTAGCACGAGGGCAAGAAAACCCCAACCAAGAGACTCGGTCATATGGGTCGCACTAGGTTTCCAGGATGGGGAACCTAAGGATTATTGTAACCGACTGATAGAGACAATAAGTGATAGCCTTCGAAAGCCTGGTCAGGGTGTGTCTTGAGTTGTGGCTGGCCACCCTTCCCTTGTGGTATGTTAAACCCTTGTTTATTGTTTTATACAATTACGTAATCGTTCCACTAAATTTCCCCCTCATTCTTTTCAGCGCTTGTCGTCCAGCTCTTTGTTGAATAAAAGCCTATATATTGGGCCTCTGTCTTCTCTATATTCAAGAGCTTTTATGGTCGCCCTTCACACAACCTTATACCTCGCGATGTGCTTATATACAATCAAACATATCAAACAGCCTCTGTTGATGAAGCCCTACTCATTACCTTCCCCTAACGGAGGTGTTATTTCCACAAAAAGTGTGAGGAAGAAAAGTCAATATCTGGAGCTATAACCGGTTTGGTGAACCACTGGCAGTTCACCTATGGGAGATGAAGTGGAATGTAATCAGATGAAGTCCAGAGAGATCAGGATTTACTTCGGAACTGGGAGCTGCCGCTAAACCTAAGCAAACGTAGATAGGTACTACAAGACCGCGGCAAAATCGAAATAAGGTATTAAGATGAGACGGGAGCACCTTCATTCATCATCATTGTACTGTATTACGTTGTACAATTATGATGATGAATGAAGGTGTTCCCGTCTCAGGCCCTCGGCCCGTAACCAATGGACTGCCTACAGACAGCACAACTGAGTGCTACCGAGCGCGTCTCCAGGTCGCGCATAGGAGAACGGATACCTTGGTGGGGGAACCCTACTGAATACTCGGTCGCGGAAGATCAGCGGTGATGCTAGAGGACGTGGTGGGGTTTCCGGCTGGAAACCGATATCCCTTTTAAAAGCCATGAATGTCTGTTGACGGTATCGCGACGAGTACTAATGTGGCCAGCCGCCAAATAGTCATTGTCAATTGCTTACTCGCCCGGATAAGACAAACTGTGAGGAGCGTTACCGACCTCCAGACCTTACGGACACATTGGGATCCTGGAGACGTATCAACTGCTCTGACGGTCACCGGCTACCAACTATTAAACTCTGTTTCGGCGCGCGAAAGTGCGTGGTAAATGGTTGTACAAACTGAACTGTTTCGGTTTAAACAACCATTAGGCATGTATTTCCGTGCGACACTTTTGGTTGCCCATTTGGGTGAACAATAGGAGGAAAACAGGAAGGTTGAAAGTAGGGTAGAAGAGAAAATTGAGAAGTTCAGTGGACTAATGATGCAGAGAAATTGAGAAGATACACGAACGCCATTCTTTACGACACCGACCCATATCACTCAGTGTGTCTGACCATTGGTTACAATCATCCCGAGGTCCCCAGAAGGGGACTTATGTGACCCAGTTTCCTGGTTAGGGTTTTCATATCGTTTCCCTACAGGTTGCACATGATTGTGTAAGGGTTAAAGGTGCACCCTCAAAGAAAAGCCGAGTGATGCGGGAGACATCACATCCCAAGTTTCTTCGTGGATCGTCTTACAATGTTACATCGCGCTGATGATACGGCGTTTCCGGGAAGCGATGCGCCCTGTGTTCTCCTAGTGACTTAGGTGATAAATGAGCAAGCTAGGAACCTAAGTCATCTGTACACAAGATCCCGCATCCACGTAACTTGCTGGAATCAAAGGACATTGCTAGATATAAAAAGCCAGTGCCGCACAATGTATTAACTGCACATTTCAGGCAAGGTTCTCGTATTGCCGATGTTCTTCATTTACGCCGTAGATTAGACAATGCGATATGCACTCGTGGATTACCCTAGAGTGCATCTCGCCTCAGATACATGGATCGCGGATAGTGTCG